GCCCTGGCGAGATACCTTTTCAGGCTGCTTTACTTTTACATGGCCCACGTTGCTTAGTTACAAGGCCTGAGGCCTACATTGGGTGAAAAAGGCCCTTTCATAAGCTACGAATGGAAGCCCCAGACCGGACTGTTTAACTGACCGGTACCGTTTCTGTTTCGGCCTGTAGGGCCTCTCCCAACCCGGCTATAGGCTATAGGACCGTCTATCATCTTAACCCCTTAGGGCCTGTCTGTCCTAGGGGTAGCCCGGGTCTGCTATTCGCAGTTAGGATAGATGTAGGAAATTCAGTTAGTACGGGCCTGTATTTTCCCCTATTTACAGATATGTCCCTCACAAATTTTCCTTACAGGCAGGTCACTCGGTTAGCCCTCAGCCAAACAAAATTATGAGTCTGTCCTACCTATGGTACAACCTCGACAGAGAGAGGCTACAGGCGACCAGAAACAGCAAGTCATTGCAGACATGCCCGCAGGTGCTCTTGCCTCAACACAACACACAGCCTCTAACGCAGCAGCGCAGCAGCGTGACCGCATTGCCTGCGTGGGCCAGAATGCCTGCCCCTGGGTGCCCTCCTTCCCATATGGAAGTGGCAGCCCCTGCTTGGCTGTGTGTGGCCTGGCTGGGATGCAACAGCCTAAGTACCCACATATGAAAAATGCCGCATTTTGGCCTCTCGTGATTATTAAGGCTCGCCTTCACTAAGGACGGGCACTTGGCTTCCTGGGGGCCTTCACTAAGGGCGGGCACTTGGCTTCCTGGGGGCCTGTTACATAACCGAGGATCTGCAATGTGATGAAAAAGATTAAATGGACACTGCAGTGCAAGTGAAATGTCAACAAGCAGTGTACATCCTGATACATACAAAAATGGTGCTTTATAGCGCAGTGGAAGACTTAGATACAAGTCCTGCCCTGACCGGGACTGACCTCTATCACGTATTGCAAGACAGTGGAGTAGAATGCTAGAATATCAATGACTAGCCCAATCAATGTCGCAACGCAGACCAAACATACGTCATCCTCATCACAAGGTGTGAAGGGCCCTGGTGCTACACATAGGAAGAATGCGCCAGGTCGAGATCATGCACAGACGAAGAGGAGGGGAACCAACGAAGAAGAGGGGGAGAGATGGGAATGGTGTCAACACCAAGTCTTCATTACAAGTCCAAAATAATCCCTTGTCAAAATGTTTGAAGCCCAATGTCGAGTCTGAATCCAAATGTCACCAACCCCGCTCTCGTAGTCTGCAGATGCTGTGAAGTCAGGTAGCGAGAGGGTGAGAGGGAGATGGTGGACTGAGAAGAGGAAGAAGAGGAACTCTCTCTCTCTCTCCCATGTGCCAGGTACTAACCTGTGAAGATGGCGCTGTGCTGCAGGTACCTCGAAGACGAAGCTGGAGCTATGGCGTTGCATGCAAGTCCCCCTGGCCTCCGCCCAGTCTCTCTCTCTCTCTCTCTCTCTAGTACTACTCTAGCACCTAGTAGCGCCCAACGCTGAAGACTACTGCTAACGCTACAAGCGCCCAGCGCTGAAGACTACTGCTAGCGCTACTACTACTCCTGCAGCGCTCCTCCAGAGTGCTCCAGCCGAATCCTGAAGATTCCTCCTACCTCCTGAACTGCACGTGAAGTGCCTGGGAAGTCCCTAGGAACTACCTGCAGCCTGCATGGCGGGCCATTTCTATATAGTGGAGGGTGCTCTTGCCAATGCCGAAACGTGCCAGACGCTGGCGTTGAAGCTCAACCAAGGGTTGTCTTGAAAACAGGCCCAAAATGGCCTGTGCTAAAACCCTGGTCTAGTGCCTGAGTTTCAGGGCAGGTCGATCTCATGAGGGCCTGAAAATGGCCCTTCGTTTCAGGCTGAAAACACTCAGGGCCAGAAAGGCCTTGCTTTAGGCTGAAACGACACGGGGCCTGTAGGCCCTTGTTTTCAGGCTTTCAGGTTGAAACGACACAGGGCCTGTAGGCCCTTGTTTTTAGGCTTTCGGGCTGAAAACGACACGGGCCTGAAAATGGCCCGTGCAGTCTGTTGCAGGCGCAGCATGTAACACCCGCCTCTCGTTACGAAGTCAAGCCGGGTTGAGGGCGAAGATGACGATCTGAATGTGGAACCTGGATGCGGGTGCGACGTGGAGCCGAACATACCGGCTTGCCTTACATCTTCGTTTGGGGTGCAGTACGCAAAATGTACCAAGTAGGCGAGCCGAACTTGGCTTGAGAGATGAGCCCCATCATTTGATGAGCGTGTAGTCGAACATGAACCGAGTGTCGCGGTTGTAGACGATTTCCTTGGGGTAACCCTTGGTTCGAATCCAACCGGCGTGAAGAACCTCGACCAATTCCGGTGCCTTGGCATGATAGCGGCAAGGCAAAAACATGGCGAACTTCGTGAGTCGGTCGACCACCTTAAGAATCCCATCCACAGTGGTCCTGTGCTTGGGGAACGGCCTGATAATGTTCATGGTAATCGCTTCCCTCCAGCGCAAGGGGACCGGTAATGGTCGCAACTCGCCGTACGGATGATGGTTGCGGGATTTGTAGCGTTGGCAAAACTCGCATGACTCGCAATAGCGTGTGACGTCGCCGAGAAGGCGGGACCACCAAAAGCGCTTGCGAAGTCGATGCACAATTGTAGATCCTTGTTCTTCTTCCGTACGAAGAGAATTGGCGCTCCATATGGGAGCTACTAGGGCGGATCCAGCCCTTGTCCATCAAGTCATCGAGTTGCGAGCGGAGGACCGTAAGCTCCTCCTCGCTCATGCGACAAATGCAACCTTTCGGAGGCATGACACCGGTCTCAAGAATGATCTCGTGAGAGATCGGCCGATCCGGCACCACACTGGTAGGTGACTCGAAGATGTCAGTGAACTCGTCAAGCACCAAACATCACACGGGGGTCCGAAGACAAGTCCGTGGGGGAAGAGCTGGCTACTGCGACGGTTCGTAGGAAACATAGGCCTATCTCGTCAAGCTGCTCGTAAGCGCAGGTAGCTCGGAATGACATGGTCGTCACCACTTGGCATCGGATCGAAGGTTTCCCGAACGGTAAGAGTCCGCCGGTGGAAGTTGACCGTGTGATCCGCACTTGCAAGCCAAGGCATCCCTATAATGATATCGAAGTCCGTGTCCAAAATGTCAAACGTCACCGGTTTGCATGCATGAGGTGCAAAATACAGTATGACCTCGACGTAGCGGTGGTCGTATTGGTCAATAAGTTGCTGCGTCCTTCCGTTCGCCAACTTGATCGCCGTCGGGTTTACCTTCCTCCGAACTCGTGCGCCAAGGCCAGCCCTTTGCATAGAATTGCGGGACACGCCGCTATCTAGCAAAGCGCTGCAGGACGCTTGCCCAACTTGGATGCGGACATAGAGGAGCGGTGCGTTGTTGTCATCGTATCGTTGCTTGCGAAACTCGTGGGCCACCTTGGTAACATACGCAAGGATGTCCCCCACCCCGACTTCGTCATCCGTCGGCCAAGTTGGTGGTGCATAGAAGGATAAGTACGTGTGAAGATGAGCGCATAATGCTGCGCATTGCGGTCCCGGCAAGAGGCCCGTGGTCGGGAGAGGAAGCCATGCGAAATCCTCGGACGTGAGCGGGTCTAATACCTCTATGTTGAACTCGCGGGCCTAATCCCGTGAAAAATCACTTGAAGATGATAAGTCAACGTAGGAACGAGCCGTCAGCATAGTCGTCATGAGAATATAGAAGAGGAGGACTATCAACTTCCGCGTGTGCCTCGGAACGAAGGGTGGTTCGTGAAGCGTCCGGTTTCGAAGGTGTCGAGAGTGTCGTCAGCTCACTCGTGGTGGTGCTCAGTTTCCCGATTTGCCTTTGCCTTCCGACGGGCAGCTCAGTATCTCATGGAGATCGCTGTTGCACCATAGACAATAGCGGGATCTTGTGTGTGCCTTGTACGCTTGCTCGGAGAGATCGTAGTGGGACCATGGGGCTGGAGCTGTTGTGTCGGGCCCGGGGATAGATGCGGTGTTTGTCTTCGTCTTGCCGCGTCCTCGGCCTTTGCCGAGGCGGCCACCATCCTGGGTGGCTGCGAGTCTGTCCCCTTCATTGGCAGACACGACCTCGCTAGATTGGTCGGTTAGCGTTGCTGCCACGACCACGACCACTTTCGGCCGATGCTGATCTCTGCTTGGGCCTGGCGCAGACAAAAGGTGGAGGTTCTTGGCCTCCTTGTTCATGATAATGATCTGCGCGACCTTGTTGAAGAGCTCCGCCGTTGTCGTCAGGGTGTCCTTGACGTGAGTCAAGGTGTTGCCCATCGCCGAACAAGACCTCGAGTGGAAGTAGTGTTTGACGACCTTGAAACACATTTGAATGTCTGGGATGGATGTCAAGCGTTGGTACTTGGCAATCCAATCAATACTTGGCAGCGTGCCTTGTTCGAAGGTCATCAGCTTGTCCATTGCCTTGATCTCCGGTGGCTCTATTTGGCACCGCTTATGCCACACCGCCTTTAGATCATCCGACTGATCTTGGTGTACAAGTCGACAACTACCACTCCGTACTTGGACAAGAGATTGTCCAACCATGCCTGGCACGCGCCCCCCGACCGGGAGTATAAGTACGCGTGATGCTTGTGTTCGCTGACGTGGTGGAGCTGCAACTTGAGGTCGAACTTGCGGAACCATGGAATCGGGTCTGTGTTCGTCGAGTCGCAGACTATCGAACTTTGAAGTTGTCTCGCACGGTTCCGATATCGAGTGGGTGGCGGCAGTACAGATCCGCTGCTCCAACTGTTGCGTTGCGGTTTGCTGTAACTGCACGCCGTCCTTGAGGGATCCGACGTCAATCTCTAATGCCTCGAGGCGATCGGAGGTGTTGGAGGAGCTGGCAACGGGGGCAGCGACGGTTTGTTCCAGCTGCTGGAGGCGGCTGCTGACTTGGTCAAACACCTGATTGTGCGTCTGAACCGCGTCGTCGAGGTTGTGGATGTCCTCCTGCTGTGCAATGCACGTGGCCAGGAGGTCCGTGAGATGGGAGAGGAGTAGAGCGATCTTATTTTCACTCTTCCATCTTGCCATTCTCGGCCTCGGCCCGCCAGCCCGCTGCCATTGTGAGCAAAGCTCGCTCTCCATTGAATATCTTCTCACGCCGTTGAATTCGTTCTTCATTGGCAGCCTTTGCTGCTACCTCGTTTTGCTGGCGCTGCTGTTCGATTGCCAATAGACGTGCCTTCTTGGCGTCCTCTGTCTTCTTCTTTGCTGCGGCTGCTACTGCATCCCACCGTTGCTTAACTTCGGTAATCAGAAGCAGCATCCGGGCCTGATAGGCCTCGTCCGTTTCCCCGGACTTCTGGTCCATGACGGCTGTTTGCGAGCGCGTGAGCATATACCAGGCCGGGGGCCTGCTGACGTGGCACTCCCTACTTCTGATGTGGCCTGCTGACGTGGTCTGCTGATGTGGTCTGCTGACGTGGTCTGCTGACGTGGTCTGCTGAAGTGGTCTGCTGATGTGGCAACTTACCAATGCCGCTGCAGGGTGTACCCGGAGACCGATAGAGAAGATAAGACCAGAGGGGGCAACAACATAGGTGGGGAGGGGTGGGTGGGATATGTCTCCCAGATAAGAAGCCATTAATCAAAAAAAGAAAAACAACAAATTCAAGAAAATAAGAATCCCGAGTTTTGCAAGTTCAGTAGGTCTCCCAATCTCCCTTGAAGTGCGAAATTGTCAGTGAGAAAAAAAAAAAGTTTCGAACTTTCAGACTGCCAATCATGATCAGATAGTGAAAATCATAGAACTGCGAATAAAAAGAATTCCGAAAAGAAAATAAAAAATATTTGGAATTACTTAGATGAGAGTATGCGCAGTTTGGAAAATGGTAACTGCAAGAGGGATTTCCCGTACCGTTTTCAAAAAAACGAATTTCGGAGAAAAATATTCCGGATTTCTGAATAACGGGAAATTGCAAAAGGAAATCGAAATTTTCGAAAAGAAAGATATTCCGGATTTCCAACAACGAAATTTCGAATTTTCAGAAGAAAAACGAAAACGGAAATTTCAGGTGTTGCGCTATTGCGATTTTCCACAACAGGAATAGTGGGAAAACAACATCCAAGAAAAGAAAAAAATTTCGATTTTCGGCAGTGAGGTCAAAATCGTGATTTTTGGGGCCAACTAGTGTGCTCTAATCAATCAATCAAGACTGATCAGCTACTTAGTCCCCGCACACGTGTCAGATCAGGTTGTCCTGATTCACGTGCGGTGTTCCGATACCAGCTGTTACATTCCCAGTTGGGCGATGTACATAAATAACCGAGGATCCGCAATGTGATGAAAAGGACTGAATGGACAATGCAGTGCAAGTGAAATCTCAACAAGCAGTGTACATCCTGATACATACTAGAATGGTGCTTTATAGCGCAGTGGAAGACTTAGCTTCAAGTCCTGACCTGACCGGAACTGATCTCTATCACGTAGTGCAAGACAGCGCAGCAGAATGCTAGAATATCAATGACTATCCCAATCAATGTCGCAACGCAGACCAAACATACATCATCCTCATCACAAGGTGTGAAGGGCCCTGGCGCTACACACAGGTCATGCGCAGACGAAGAGGGGAACAGACGAAGAAGAGGGGGAGAGATGGCAATTGCATCAACACCAAGCCTTCATTACAAGTCCAAAATAATCCCTTCTCAAAATGTCTGAAGCCCAATGTCGAGTCTGGATCCAAATGTCACCAACCCCGCTCTCTCGTAGTCTGCAGATGCAGTGAAGTCAGGTAGCGAGAGGGTGAGAGGGAGATGGTGGACTGAGAAGAGGAAGAAGAAGAACTCTCTCTCTCTCTCTCCCATGTGCCAGGTACTAACCTGTGAAGATGGCGCTGTGCTGCAGGTACCTCGAAGACGAAGCTGGAGCTATGGCACTGCAGGTAAGTCCCCCTGGCCTCCGCCCAATCTCTCTCTCTCCAGTACTACTGTAGCTGCTACTAGCGCTGAGCACTGAAGACTACTGCTAGCGCTACTACTACTCCTGCAGCGCTCCTCCAGAGTGCTGCTGCCGAATCCTGAAGACTACCTCTTGCCTCCTGAACTGCACGTGAAGTGACCGGGAAGTATCTAGGAACTACCTGCAGCCTGCAGGGCTGGCCAGTTCTATATAGTGCTGGCCCGTCAAGGAGGCTGCTCTTGCCAATGCCGAAACTTGCCAGACCCTGGCGTTGAAGCTCAACCAAGGGTTGTCTTGAAAAGAGGCCCAAAATGGCCTGTTCTAAAACCCTGGTCTGGTGCCTGAGTTTCAAGGCAGGTCGATCTCATGAGGGCCTGAAAATGGCCCGCCGTTTCAGGCTGAAAACAGTCGGGGCTGGAAAGGCCCGGTTTTAGGCTGAAACGACACAGGGCCTGTAGGCCCTTGTTTTCAGGCTTGCGGGTTGAAAACGACACGGGCCTGAAAATGGCCCGTGCAGCCTGTTGCAGGGGCAGCATGTAGCAGGGCCTCTGCCCAGAACATGTGCATGTCTGATAAGCGCCCCACGAGGGCTTATTCCTCGTACAAGCCTGCTTCGTAAAATGTGATGGCATTTTGAGATGCAGGGATTTTCTGTCGTTCTTGAACAATGAGTCCTTTCCTTTGCAGGATCTGTCATTGACTTGGACCTGTAGTGACCAGGATGTTGCAGGCCTGCTGACTCTCATAAATAATTTTGATGGTGTGTTGCCTCTCCAGGAAAGTGAGAATAAGCGCCTGAAGTCTCGTCTCAGGGTCACAGAATGGCAGCTTAAGGCAAGGAAAGCCCCGTACAGCGTTCGTTGTGCATGCTGCTTGTCTTCTCTTCTATTCTGTTTTTTTCGCCCCTCTTTCTCCCGATATTTCGTGTGTCATATATGTTCCCAATATCTGCCCAACTGACAGCTGTGTGCTTGGAATGTTCTCATGAAGGTTCTACGTTGATGTGTGAGGCTCTTATCTCTGTCCTCTCTCTCCATGTTTCCGTTGTTCTCGTTTGCTTCTCTCTCTGAATTGGGGTCCACATGTCCTGTTTGCTCTGCGTTAGTGGCTATAGCCCGTGCCTGTGATAAATGTATGGGCTAGAGAGACTATTCTCCAATTTGCATTGCGCTGAAAAGGTCTAAGCGTGTCCCTAACCTGAAAGGTGAATGGTGGGCCCACCAGAGGACTGCCAGTTTAAGCATCTGGCTTTTATTTATAGTGTTTCAAAGTTTAAAATTTTAATCAACCTTGTGGGCAGTTTGCACCGATATGCTGAGAAGTCAGGCCAGTCTGTCAGAAAACAAGTCAAACGAAACATGCAACTTGGCAACCCGCTGTGGAGTCGAGCCCAACCTTCTCAGAAAACAAGTCAAACGGAACATGCAGCTGGGTGACCCGCTCTTGAGTCAAGCCCAGCCTGTCAGAAACAAAGTCAATCACAAAATAAACAAACTTTCCCTACAAGTGGATCGAGAACAAGGGAGATGGGTAGAAGCAACCATCTCTCTAAAGGAGGAAGACTTCTAACTCATCACTATATATGCTCCCAAGTCCCAACAACCCCAAACTCAGACAGGATTCCTTTCAGATGATGTTAGTGCAATCGGACTCGCTTTCTTTTCCACTTCACAAACATGCAAACAGATTGTGATTCACTCTGGCGCACAGCGCCCACTCAAAGCTCAGAGATATGGCAATCGAGAGCACAGTTCAGATATAAACTCGCTTCAACAAGCTATGGCGCATTAGCGCCTACGCAGAACAACTCTCGTCACTATGTTCGACACCACTGTTCACGCACACTTCTCTGGATCACCCTGAATACTCCCACACGCACTCACTGTATCACACACTTGTACACACTCGCTAACTCCTATCACTACAGTGGCTATGGCCGCTCACTTCTACTAACTATGGCTACACTTTCTTCTCTCAGCCCACTTCGACTTCGGACCACCTTCACACAAGCTGCTCTAGAAGCATGGCTTACGCAGCGAATGAATGAATTGCTGGGCGCTGCTCTTGATTTATACTTCTGTTTGCCGCTGGTCTGCCCCTTTCCACCAGGCCCTGGATGTGCACAGTCCCACACGGTACTTGCTGGACCGAACTCGGTTGGACTGGGACTGGCAACTTGGACTGCATGAGGTTGCTCTGCCGACTCAACGCAGTTGGACCTGCGGCTCAGTGCAGTTGGGCTTACCGCTTGCCCACTTGCCTCTGGCTAAACATGAGACAATTTCGAAAGGCCACTTCCGGACCTTCCGGAAGTCTGCGGATTTGGCCTGTTGAGTACTGTTGCTGCTATGACCTTGACCTTTCAGGACTGTAGGAGCTACGACCTTGACCTTTCAGGGCATCTACAGCTACGACCTCTACAGAGCTGTGACCCCTACTCGACAGACCTACAGATCGAACCCCTACAACTACACAGACCTTCGACAGACAACAAACAACTACCAAAACACAGGTCACGGGTTCAAACACTCGGGGGTAAACTCGATACCGTACATGGGTAAGGTGAGGTCTGGGGATCAAACTCTAGGGCCTGCATCTGTCACTGCAGAAAGGTGAAAAATTCATCAAACAAAAGCATCTCATGCAGTAGCAGACTGGAACACAAACCTGGACTGGACTCAAGATAGAATTCACAGCAGTAATGGAATCCATTGCAATTCAAACATTGTTAGTAGAAGAAAACCTTTCTGACCCATTCATATTACTCCACCCAGACACCAAAGTGCAATGACTTGCTGATTTTGACTGCCGAAACTGACTGCAAGGCTGTACACTAACCGGTAGGGTTAGATTCATAATTTTGTTTGGCTGAGGGCTAACCGAGAGACCTACCTGTGAGGAAATTCGTGAGGGACATATCTGCAATTTGGGAAAATACAGCCCTTACACTAACTGAATTTCCTACGACTACCGTAGCTGCGAATAGCTGGCCCGGGCTACCCCTAGGACAGACAGGTCCTAAGTGGCCTAAGCTGCTAGACGGTCCTATAGCCTATAGCCGGGTCCGGTAAAGGCCGAAGGCCGAAACAGAAACGGTACCGGTGTCAGGCGGCCACAAGTAGTGCGCCGCCTGAAAACTGCAGTTTAGGGGGTTTAGGCTCAGGGTTAAGTCCGCGTTTTGACAGTGCTTTGGGATG